TAACTTTTTAAGTAACTTCTAATTTACCGTTATTCAATAACTTCTAATCTTCAATTCATGTTTTTACTTCTTGTTATCAAACATGCCCTAAAAGAATAGAAACTTACTCACTGTGTGAAATCTGTCATTAGCACCTTGTATTCTAGCGCAATGCAGAAGAGCTATATCGATAAGGGCTCTTGCTGAACATCTCACAGGTATGGTCAACCACGTGAATCCAAATGAGGAGTTCTTGCATAATTGCTGCCAACAATAAGATCAGCAGTTGCCTGACGCCTCCTTGTGGACTTGCTTGTCTGTTGAAAATAAGTATGGTGTTTTTAAGATTTCCACAATACCATTCTTTTAGTGGGACAATGGCATAACTTTCTCTATTCTTTAAACCACCATTTTTAGTTTTGTGATAAGAAGCCCTTTCTTCGAGTCCAAATTTTAGAAGTTTTATTGTAATTTCTAAAATCATTATGGGGGACCAAAATATTACAATTCGCACTAGAAGATGTACTTCGAGTCCAAATTTTAGAAATTTTATTGTAATTTCTTGGGGAAATATCATTAAAGTTAAAACCCTTTCTAAAATCATTATGGGGAATCAAAACATTACAATTTGCACTAGAAGATGTACTTCGAGTCCAAACTGTAGAAGTTTTATTGTAATTTATTGGGGAAATATCATTAAAGGAGTTAAAACCCCTTCTAAAATTATTATGGGGGTGATCAAAATATTACAATTAGTATTAGAAGATGTACTTCTTAATATTCATTTTACTTGGATACCTCAAAAATTATCTTTAAGAATACCTAAATTGGTTTTGGTCAAAATTAGTGACATGAACAAGTAGGAGAATTTCAGTAAGTTGACCTAAGTGATGGGATTACCCATGCGTGTTCAAAGTGGGTCAAATGACTGAAATGCCTCTGCTTGTTGAGGCTCCCATCTCTCAACAATGGCAATTTATATATAAGTGCATATAGTATGCTCTTGTGGAAGCATATTGTGCATTTACTCCCTTGCTTAAAACACCTATTTTAAAAGTATTTTTTCAATCTAAAATTTTAAGAACCACATAAAAATTATTAGATGACTATTTTTTAAAAAAAGAATTAAATTTTGAGTTGATTTGTGCGACACTTAGATCTAGCCCTTCAAAACTTGGTTTCTTTCAATCTTAAGGAATTAAATTTTTTTTTTTTTTTAGTACATAGGGTTTATTTTAGATTTTTTTTTGTTGAGATTATTTTATAGGTTGCAAAGATTACATCCCCAAAATTTGAGATCTAAATAGTGTCCCTAGCGTGTATTTTTCCTGGAGTAAATGGATAGTTTGCTCCCGAGGGAGTAGGAAATCTTTTCGCTTTATATAATTTCAACATTTTTTTTGATGAAACGTGGGAGGAAAATAAAAAATTAAAAATAAAATTAATGAGACCATTTACTTTTGGTACAAGGTGGTCACAATTAATCTGACCATTGGATGTAAAATTGCGTGGTCACAGTTATTTCATTACCAAGCTCAAAGTTCAACATAAATTTTTTCGAATTTTGTGATACACCCAAGCTATCAGATTTCATATCGGAAGGTTGTAAGTATTTGTGACCTCCATGTACCGAAGGTAAACTATCTCATTTATGTACAATCCCATAGTCGAATAAGGTGTTTTAGACCGGTTAATCATGTTTTCCTTAATTTCATTTTGAAGTCGCCTTGTCATTTGGTCCCACTACGATTACACAGCGGCTGAAATCAAGGGCAAACAAAAATAGAAAATGGTTTGATCAAAATAAGTAACGCCTCACCTCATCAAATATTGCAATTCTAAGTGTTGAAAAGCCTTTAAATCGGTCATCTCAGCTTGAACATTATGGTGGTGTAATAAAGTTGGGATTTTAAATTCTAAAAATAGTGTATATTGCAACAAATCATCTAGACCATCCATTTCATCTAAAAAATAAGTATTTTCATATCCGCAAGATCTGTACTTTTTTTTAGTTTCAAATTTTATTATCTATTTTCAAAATTAATTTTAAAAGTATCAAGATTTTCGATGCCGAAAGTGCTTCCCGGATGAGGATTTAAGGCAGGACTTTATTTTGTTTTTATAAAACCTGGGCCCATAGAAACTTCGTCCAACAAAAATCCAAGTAATTCTTATCATCCATCGCATTTGTTAGAACGGTCCAAGTCATGGTCCTCACAGACCCGAAAAAGGCTAAAGCCATTGGCCCAGACCCTTGTATCAAGCAAAGCCCGATATGCCTCTCTCAATGGGTGCACGCTTGGACTGTGTTCCCTTCTTGGCTATGACCCAGAATCACCGCCCTAAGAAGCCCAACAACAAGAAAAACATAGTTGGGTTTGGTGGAGGGAGGAAGGAGGTGCAGTGGAAGTGCATTGAGGGTTGTGGCGCTTGCTGTAAGCTCGACAAGGGCCCTTCCTTTGCCACTCCTGAAGAGATCTTCGACGACCCCCATGATGTGTCTGTAAGTTTTACTCAAAGACTCCTGTTTTAGAGAGACAGATTTTTGTTCTTCGCAACAGGGAGGTGAACCGTACGTTGGACTTTTACTCCATGGTAGAGAGCTCAAGCAAGGGAGTAGGAAATGGAAACTAACGGTCTAAATGTTTTCTTATTAAAATTATTATTTTTAGATTTTAAAATTTATTTCTTTATTTCATATTAATGATCTCCATGTTAGAGATTACATGTTCTTAAAAATCATGTCTTAAAATCTATCTCAAAAATGGATTTATCAAGAGGCCCACAATTCTACATATGCGGGCTTGGCCGTATAAAAACGGGTCCATTTTGAAATTGGAGTAGAAGTCTAGCAACTATGAACTAAAGTAACTATTCCACATCCTTAATGTGAAATTTAAATACCATCATCGTCATTATCATTATCATCATCATCTTTATTCCAATTGGTAGGCTACATGGATCTTGTTATGCCGTTTTGCTCATAGGTTCATGATTCATGCAAGACGTGACAAAGTTTTATGTTGACTATCTACCTAACATAATTCTCCTCCTATATCCTGGCTTGGGACAGGTATTACCGACTTGGGACCTACCGTAGCAGAGTTTATTGGGAAATTCAAATAAAATATGCTTAAATCTAGTTGTTTTATTCTATAAGAAAGATGAGGATGTTGGATTGATTTGTCAATTCTTTTGTGGGATGAAAAATGAATAAATTTCATGCTGGAATTCATCTGGTATATCAACATCTTTTTAACTCTATTTTTTACGACTATTTTCTCCCAAGTTTTAGGGTTTATCACGCTACATTTTGTTGTTGGAGCTTTTTTAAGCCAGGCCAATCTTTTGTGTTCTTTTCCCTACAATTTGTTATGTCATGTCTCTTGCAGGTAAAATTCATGTCACCATTCCAGACGTGCTTATAACATCTAGCTGCAATGATTAATCACTTGATTCTTGTGAACTTTTATGTACTCCTTTCTGTATCATTTCTTTTTGTCATTGTTATTATAGCGCTTGATTTCAATATGGTGAATTGTTTTCTAGCATCGTTATCTTCTTGGCCTTGTGGCATCAGTCTTCTATTTTGTCCATATGCAATTGATTATATGATGTTCACATTTCATTTTTGGAATTTAGCTATACATGAGTTTCATTGGTCCAGATGGGTGGTGCATACACTATGAGAAAACAACTCGAAAATGCTCCATTTACTCTGGTAAGCACTTGTTTGCTTGCTTCATTCATACATATCACGCTTAAAAATATCTAACTGAACGATCTTTTCATGTAGAGAGACCATATTTTTGTCGAGTGGAACCACAAGTATTTCTCACCTTGTATGGGATAAATGAGAAGAGATTCAATAAGGAGGCATGTGGGTATGTATTCATGATTTCTTGACATCAATTCATTAGTATGCCATGTCATCAGACAGAAATAAGTAAATAAATAAATTCATTAACATCTCATATCATCAGTTAAAAGTGACAGAAAATTGATTCGTTAGCATGTCCTTTCACTAATATACCCAAACTCTGAATATCTCTATTGCAGCTTCTGTAGGGACACCATCAAAGATATTTATGGGGCAAGGTCGAAGGAGTTGGATAACTATAATAATGCTATTCGGAACTCAAAAGGCTAGTTAGATTTTAGTCACAAATTTCTCTTATCTGAGATGGATGAATTTTGGAGGACAATGAAGTTTATTATTTACTCAGGCAAAACAGTAGTCTGTAGATCTGCACATACATCTAGTTTCAATTGGATTATTACATTGGATCCCCTGTTCTCCAGTAAGTTTTGATTTCTGGAAGAGAATTTACAATGTATGTAGTGTTTCTGACTTCTCTTTATTGTTTGAAATTCTAATGCCAACTGCATGTGTCATGAGATCACGCAGTGACACAGGGTCCTCAAGAGTTTTTATAGTATGTGTTAATCTGTGACCTACACTTTCTAATAATTACTGTACATCTTTGATTGAAGCTTGTCAGAAACAATTCTATTAAAACGTTATCAGGGAGTGATTGAGTACTTATGTTTCAAAACTAGTAACATGGGATGACATTAGCAACCATGATTGATGATATCATCAATGGTAAATTTGAAATATTGGGGATGAAATATTTCAAATATAAAGAACTTCAATAAGGATGACCTTCAATTTGATATTGGAAGCATGAGATTGGAATGCATGCAAAAACGTGGAGACCTCAGTGATGCCTATGGGCGTGGTTGGCTCTATTAAAACAGAAACAAGGGATTGAATCCCTCAGTTACAAAAGTAGATGGAGTTCAAGTACACAAAATGCCCATTTAGAGAGGGTTACAATAAGAAATAGCAAAATGATGATTTTGCAATTGAGTCATTGCACCACATGCAATGCACACAGTTAATTTCAGTTTCAATTTTCTAGAACCAATGGTCGCATGGTCATACTTAATGGAAAACCATATTTTTCTTTGTTGTTGGTCCTTCTCCCAAACAAGTTCTGCACATCTATTCAAAACTAAAATATCTACTATTTTTTTGTCTTAAACATCAAAGACTGGTCCAGGATGCTTACATAGTAGGAAACCATTTGGCCACTTCACCTGTTGCATGTTCATGTAATCCTTGACCATGTTTTCTTTTGGGTAGGCTGTTTTAGCAGACCCTTACCTATTCTCTAAGTTGGAGAAATATTATAATTGATGTAATTACATAAATTAGGCAGACCCTGGCAAACTTTTATGTAATCAAACCTCTTTGATGGTATTCAAAGTCAAAATTTTAATAAGAAGTTTCCAATCATACAAAGACACCTTGTATAGGACAAAGCCTTTCAGGTAACTTGCCGACAAACTGAATTTCTTTTATCAAATGTGCCACTTGAAAGCTGGTCCCTCCCTCTGATAGCTGAAGGAAACTAACACAATGTCATCCAGTGGGCTTCGTTGGCAAGCACCTACCCATGGATCCTTGCCCATGTGTTTGAAGAAATAGCCCACCTGTGCTCGGGGATTTCCGTCTCTTGGAACCATGTGTGGCGAGAGAGTAACTCTCTTGCGGATGAATTGGCTAAAGACGGAGCCATTGGCCCTGGGCCCTAGTGGTTTCGGGCACCCCTTGGCTCACTTTCTTGATGGGAGCTTTTTGCTTTAGTTCTGGCTGTATCTGTCTGTTCGATTACCCTTGATTAGGGGATATTGCTTGTATTTAAAACTTATAGTAACACAATGTTAACATTCTCAAAAAAAAATTGCCACTTGAAATTCTTGCAAAAGATTCCACATGTTAATAACTTTTCCAAATCAATATCATTCTCTATTTTCCTCTTCAAAGCTTGATGTGGCAGAACTCATCTCTCATCTTCTGATTAGTTACTTTCTTTTATGCTCAGTAAAAGAACATCTTCAATTCCCTGATATTGTGCTGTAAATTTCTTGATTCATTGTTTGCTATCATGTATTCCATTATTGATTTTCTTGTTGGGAATATCATGTTAGTTATGACAGTACTCGTAACTGTGGAGGCCCAGGAGGAGCCATGCTTGGAAGTGCTTGTATTTGAATGTAATGGAATGAGCATGATTAAATGGTTTAAAGGGAGAGAGCAACAAACAAATCTGGAAGGCAACCGCCTCTGTTCTTATAGTCCTTGTTCCTTTCTCTGATCTCTGTTCTCCTTCTTATAGCTTCATTTGCAATTATCTCACCGTTTGCTTCGCTCTTCTTTTGCTTTTCTCCTTCTTTGGCTTCTCCCTTCTCTTTTTCTCCTCTCCACACTCCTCACAATTCCTGTTCTTTTCCTCTTTTCTCCCAGTTTTCACCCTTCTCTCTTTTCCAGCTTGCTTTTCCATATTTTTCTCTATTTCTGGCCTTTTTCTCATTCTCTCTTGTCAACGACTCCCTTTTCCCTGAAGTTCTTTGCTTTCGCTTGCTTCTCTACTCTCCAAATCCTTGCTCCTTTCTTATTTCATCCTGTTCTCTGTTCTTCTCTCTGCTCCTTGACTTTTATATGTCTCTGCCCTTTCTCTCTATTTCACCTTGCTTCTCTCCTTTCTTCCATTTCTATCCTTCCTCCAAAATGCAGATGGGCTCCTTCATTTGCTGGTCTAAACCTTCCAAAATGCTATAGACAACCAGCCTTTGAGGATGCGAAGTATCTCCAACCACAAATATATGTGTCCTTCTCTGAAGTTCAATCCAACTGCATGCTGCAGCCTTTTGCAAATCCCTCTGCTTCATCAACCTTCTCACCTCCTCAACCCCCTCCCATCTCCCATTAGCTGCATAAATATTGGACAAAATCACATAATTCCCTGTGTTACTTGCCCTCAAATCAAACAGTCGATACGCAGCAAGCCTTCCGAGCTCCACACTCCCATGGATTTTACATGCACCAAGTAAGGTCCCCCATACGTTGGCATTGGCCTCACATGGCATGCACAATATGAATTCATATGCTTCATTGAGATGTCCAGCTCGGGCTAGCATGTCCACCATGCATGCATAATGCTCCATGGTGGGCTTGATTCCATATGCGTCATACATGGACTTGAAGTGCTTCCATCCTTCATCTATGAGGCATGCATGGCTACATGCGGTGAGAACAGTGGTCATCACAACATGGTCGGGCTTTATGCCTGAATCTACCATAAGGGTGAAGACTTGCAATGCCTCTTTGGCATGCATGGCATAGCCACCATCATGGCAGTGAACATAACCATGTCCCTTTTGGATCTTGTACTAAAGAGGTTGTGTGCATATTTTATGCTTCCACACTTTGAGTACATATCCAAGAGTGTTCCTTCCAAGCATACATAGCTGAAATATGATCTCGTTATGTATGCGTGGCATTGTTTCACCATGTGCATGGATGCCAAACATGCACATGCAGGGAGGATGCTCATAATGCTCATGGCATCGGGTCTCGCATCGGGTCTCATCCCGTGCTTTTGCAACTCATGAAACAAGTCAATGGCTCGATCCGGATTGGTATTCTCAGCATTTAATTGAATCATCAAATTCCAAGTGGTAAGATCCCTTTCACGCATTTCACGGAAGATAGTTCTGCATCATCTGGACAATAATTTTTTGCAAATCCAAATATCATTACATTGCCCATGATCACATTCGTCTCAGACATGCTCTTGAAAACCATGAACCCACATTTCGCTTACATGTCCAACAATGCGTTCCCAACTGGTAGTTCCAGTGAAAGTCCAGGTCGTATGCAATAGCTGTGCACCTCCTTGCCATCTTGGGTTGATATTGATATAAAAGGAGATAATGCTTAGCATGGTTACAGAATCAGGCTTGATTCCTTCCATTATCATTCGATTCAAGAGACTAACGATTTTATCCTCTTCTCCAATTTGGGCACAAGTTGCAAGCATTGTGTTCCATGATGTTATATCTCTATTGGGCATCGTCTCAAACATCAGATATGCCCGCACTTTTCATAGAAACTGATCGAAGCATTTCTCACAGCAACATTACCATGTAACCCCATGTCCATCGCTATGAGGCCATGAATCATCCTTCCCTCATGCACGTGACCCAGTTGAGCACAATGAGGCAGCAAGGAGATGATGGTTATGGATTAAGGATTCATCCCATCACAAAGCAAACCCCTGAAAAATTCAACGGCTTTACTCAACCAACCAATCCTAGAATATCCCGCAATAACTGCATTCCATGAAAGGATCTCTCCATTTCATCTCTCTAAAACACGTTCTGCTCCCTCCATGTCCCCAACCCTTGAGTAATAGCTCAAAAGGGCATTGCCCACACTTGAATTCGATACCAACCTGACTTACTCGACATAGCAATGCACCTTCTCACCCTCTGCACATTGACCTTCTAATTCAGCAGATATTGAAAGCACAGTAGCAATGGTTGCATAATTCGGGGCCTGATCACTGCCTGAAACCATGCATTGAAAGTAACCAAACGCTTTCTCAAATAGCCTATTTTGAGCACACCCTGCAATTATAGGATTCGATGAGACAACATCCCTGTCAGGAAGCCAATCAAACAATTACAAGCATCCAATACTTTCTGGCACTTCGAATACATCAAAAGAATTGCATTGGCAACAAGAGTCCAAGACTCGAAACCCATCTTTATTGCATAGCCATGGAGGCCTCGACTACTCAATAGAGCATTTAGCTTTGCACAAGCAGTGAAAACAACAGCTAGAGTAATGGCATTGGGCATAGGCATCTCTTCACTCTCATGCATCTTGTGCATGAACGTCAAAGCCTTCTCTTGAAACAGGCAGGGAGCCTCACTCGAAGCACCACATTTTGCATATAAATCGAGAAGGCTTTTGGAGACACCTTCATCTGAGCCATGGCCCAAAATGGCCACCAAATTGTGGGCCATTTTACCCAAGTCAAGGGAGGAGAGGGCGGTGCAGGCCTTGAGGACAGGGTGGAACGTGTAGTTGTCGGGTTTGCAGCCTGAGCGGTGCATGCAAGCGAAGAGCACGAGGGCCTCGTTGGGTTGGTCCAACGATGAGAGGGAAAAGGGCATTGAGTTTCAAGATGTGGGGTTGCTGGGTTTGGATATTTGGTTGCTCTGGTTTTGGAGGGATTTGAATTTGATGCTGGGAGTAGGTTTGCAGTGGAAGAGTGATGTGATTTAGAAGTTTGGGATTGGTGGTTTCTTCATGTGCATGTTTCATGGCGCTGGGTATGGTTAGTGAAAGCGCGGGACTGAGTTATTTGGGCCTGAACTGGGGTCCCTCCACCATTGAAGAAGGGCTGAAGCTTGAAAGGATGATGACGAGGTCGAGGATTAATTTTGATGGTACAGAAAACATGGAATATGGAGTATGGACCACGATGCACTAGGAACTTAAATATTACCTGCTTTCTTTTCTTTTGAATTAGCTGATCTCTCTGAAACTGTCAAACTAGAATGGAGATTTTCATGAATCATGTTTCAATTGGTAAAAGCTTACCCAATCGATTCAGGCATATATGAATGAGATTGATTGTATCGGTTATCAGGTATATATTTGGCCTTGTACTATTCAAGCCATGAAAATCTTGCTCATGCATGAAAGAGTTCCCGAACATCCTGATTATGCAATCGGACAGCATGCAAAATCCTGTCCCATATGTTTTGCGAAATTCGGTGGGTGAAAAAGGGCCCAAAAAAAAAGAAGAGTACTAATTCCAATTTTGGGCAGCCGGAAGGCTACTTCAAGATGATAGTTGCCCCCTTTCGATAATGTAAAAAGTGTGCATAGGAAGGGCGACACAAAAAAACAAAAATGTCTCTTTTTACTCTAAAGCTCTATGTATCTGGGCTTGAAGCTCACCCTAGACATCAGAGTCTTGTGTTGTTTAGAGAGAGAACAATGAGTAAAAAAAACAATAAGAGTTCGGTTATGCTCTTTGGAATTTCGCAGAGAATGGTATGAGAAAAAAGTTGTTAGTATGTATGTTGAAGTTTCTATTTCATATGGAAAAAATAACCTTTTTTATATAACTACTAGGAGACTGTACGTTTATTGTACGAGTGGTTACACGCATCATCAATAATCACAATTTACACGCAGTCATTAATCTCGATGGTTGTTGTTACTATACTATCCATCTACTCCCTCGCTAAAAACTTATACTCGCAAGCAATATCTCTTAGATCCAAAACTCAGGGGTTATATAAACTCTAGAACCTAGCAACCGACCTTAAAGAAAAAAAGATATTTAATCCCGTTCTGTATGTGTCAAAAGATATTTATTTCCGTTATCTATGTGCCTAAAAAAATAATAGCATCTCAAAAAAAATAATAGCATCCCAAGACTGCACTAAAAGCTCTTCAATTTTTGGAAGGAATAATCTACGTATTCAAGAAATCAAAATACTTGTTTTGTCTTTGAAAACTATAATCTAGTTATAAATTAGATGGATCCCATAATTTCAAATAAAAAAAAGAAAAACTCCCAAATAAGTGTTTTCCTTGATGAAGTAAATGTATAGTATGCTCCTGTGGGGCCATAATATGTATGCTCATTATTACGAGGTTAACGAACGAACAAGTAGGTGCACTTCAACAAGGTAACGCTACAGTAGAAGCTTAAAATTTATGGAAATGTATATAATAAGACTCTATTTTTAGTATATGAAAGTCACAATCATTAAAAACCATTATATGTGCAATCGGGTGGTTGGGGGTTTGTGATTGACTAGGTACAAATTCCAAAATAAAACTTCTCAATCCATGTGATACAATTTAGCTTTAAACTATCAAATTTGACATCTACTAATAGCTAAAGATGATTGTAACATCTTTGTACTGAAAATAACTAATATTATAGTATACATGATTAAAATAAATACTTAAAGTGTATTTTTGGTTCGCGTGAAATAGTTTTCTTGTAGTAAATTAATTTTTTAGAAAATAGATTTCTTAGATTTAGATTTCGCATGTTTTTTTTTGTTTTTTTCATGTTTGGTAATATTATCTAGATTTCCCATGAAATTATTTTCTTTGGCTTTGTGACTATTTGAGAATCTACCATCTTGAAATTTAGAATGTAAGCTATTTTTAACTTTTAATTGTTATTACAGATATGTTGGGATGGCATTGATAATTATCTAATGAATAGGCTATCTTTAAAACTACCCATCTATAAGATGACTAACAAATTAGTTAACCACTAGATCTAAACATATTTTAACTTGTTATTCTTTCTTTCCTTTCCTCCGAGAGCAAGAAATGTTGGTTAGGTAATGATATCACTATTATGTGAATTATCAGTCTTAAAATAGTCTCTGTCCTTCCCACATAAGCTTCATAAGAACCCTACCTAGCACCAAGTCCATTAGATTTTAATGGGCCGGGCCAGTTCCATGCCCAAGAGATTCTTTTTGGGCCAGTCTGGGCTTTAATATTACATATTCAGGGCAGGCTGGTTTTTGGGTATAATTTTTTAGCCGAGTCAAAGTATTTTCGGAGCTTTGCTGGGCCACGGGCCGATCCGGCCAAGTTGCAGTCCTACTTACACCCCCACCCTTGATTATTTTGAAAGAAATTGGAATCATACCTATATAGGTATGATTCCAATTTTTTTGATTTTGGACATTTTTTTATAGAAATTAACTTCAAAGATAAAAACATTTTTTAATCTTGTTACGAACTAAATGTGAGAAATTAGTTATTTTCTAAGAAAATAATTTCTAAAAAATGTCGAACCGAACGTGCCCTAAGTGAAATATTACATATTCAGGGCAGGCTGGTTTTTGGGTATAATTTTTTAGCCTAGTCAAAGTATTTTCGGAGCTTTGCTGGGCCAGGGGCTGACCCGGCCAAGTTGCAGTCCTACTTACACCCCCACCCTTGATTATTTTGAAAGAAATTGGAATCATACCTATATAGGTATGATTCCAATTTCTTTGATTTTGGACATTTTTTTTATAGAAATTAAATTCAAAGATAAAAACATTTTTTAATCTTGTTACGAACTAAATGTGAGAAATTAGTTATTTTCTAAGAAAATAATTTCTAAAAAATGTCGAACCGAACGTGCCCTAAGTGAAAACTGGAAGAACCTATACCCTTGCCGGAGTATGAAGTTAGGATCATGGTTAGCGGTCTCCAATAAACATACATCTTTTTTCCTAATGTAAAAAGTTTATGAGGGTATATCTTAATACTATTGCAGGACAGTGCACCTCAAAAATCATCTAAAGAGAGCCGTCCGATGTTGGAGAACCCTCTAATTGATTATCTTGACCTTGAGATGTGTAGATACGAAGAAAAAAAAATATATATAATCCTAAATATAATGTATCTTGTAACAAGTTATTTGGACCGTTTCTTTTCAAGATTTTCAAATGTTTATAGATCTACTGATTTGTATCATTTTTTAAATTTAAATTTCATAATTATGAATAAATATAGAATTTCAAGCCATCATCATGATGTTTTCGAGGTGCATTTTACTCCTATACTATAAGTAGCAAGTTATACAAACCTCACCCTTTTCTAAAACTCTTGAATTTTTTAAAATTTGTTAAAAACTCTGAATTTTATAAAAGATATTAAAAAATCATGTTTTTTTTATAAAATTGATTAAATGCTCATTTTATCATAGGTGTGGTTTGCATAGAGACGAGGCTCTAAACAATCAAAATAGAGCCCACCTTTAAATAGAGTCGAGAAATGTGGTTTCAACATTGAAAATCTTTGTGATAGCCTTCAAATATATTTTCATATCTAATAATAAAATTTAAAGTTTTAAAAATATTGTAGATCAAGCAGATCTATGAAAACTTGAAAATCTTGAAAATTGACAGTAAAAAAATGTGTTACAAGATGTACTATTTTCAAAACTTGAAATCCAATTTTTTTTTCTCATGTCGAGGATATATAGGCAACAAAGCAATCTCTTCTAGTAAGCTTTTTGAGGTAGGCTCTAACTTGATTGTTTAGAGCCTCAGCTCTATATAAACTTTTCCCTTTTATCATTCCCAAAAAAAAATTCTACAAGAAATTGACTTCTTCCGTGTTTCGTGACCTTCATTTTTTTTTTAAACTTTCCTATCTTCATTGATTTACAGTCTCACTTCCTTTTTTTTTTTTTTTTTTTAATGATAAGCAAACTAAAATTGGGCTAAATCAAGAATCTTGATTTAACAAAAAATCTCCTAAAAAATTTCACCAATTTTTAAAAAGAATTATACTGAAAACTATATTACCCACCAAAACAGCCATCAATGTATTTCAAAAATCTTTTTTTACTCTAAATTTTATGACCCCAAATACTACCAAGCCATGACCAGAAATTATTGTTCAACGATTTATCTCAAAATGTTGTTCTTGTTGAAATCTTTTTTGGGTGAATAGTGTTCTTGTTAAAATCAATGTATGTCTTGTGCCATGATAATAGAGAAAGCATACTATGTTGTGGTGTTCAATGAAAATTTAAGCAAAAAATTACCATGTCATGAATAGAGATTATTGTCTAATCACTTCATTATATGGTCACAATAACTGTAAATTGTAACTAAATTTATATCATTTATACATCGTCAATTAGCTTTCTCGTGCCAAATCTAAAATATTCACAATTTTAATTTACCTAAATTTCAGTAATCCATGAGGAAGGGGTAGACATTAGCTCAAAAGGCCCCACTAAAATATCAAAAAACTTAAATAACAGCATGTCAGATGAAAAGGAGGCATAAAATTATTTACCTAAATAAAAGAGAAAAAAAAAATTAAAACATTGAAATACATATATTCCAACTTCAAAAGGAAGAGGCCAGAGCCCCCTCCCAACTAAACGCAATGGGGCTTTTAACATCGTGCCGCCCATCGCTCCACGTCAGCAACCCGAAGCAAGTATCCAACGGTGAATATCCCTCCACGTATTCAAAAGTAACGGAATACGAAAGGCTCTGATTTTGTGCACAAAACACCAGCTTCTCCGGGTCAACCCGAATCCTCACAGAATCCGGTCCGTTGATGCTTGCCGCGTATGCTGATCGGGCGTCCCCCACATTTGTCACGGTTCTGCTAAATTTAGCCACGGTTTTACCTGGCCCAAATACCATCGAAAAGGAGGGATAGTTAAGGTCCCCAGATTTAGCAAAGCCCACGACCCGACAATCAACGCTTTTCCCTCCTGTAAAAACAGCTATCCTCACCGAATCGTATCCAAGGGCGCAAAGATAGGCCACGTAGTCCTCAGGCTTGATATCATACACTAGCCCCGGATCAAGCGCGCGATTGGGATCCACGTGGCCCGATCCCCGAACGAACGGCGTGGATTCTTTGCCATCAGCTAGGTCTTTAATGGTGCTCCCGTTATTATCGGAATCGTAAGCCGTTGTCATGAGGGCCGATTTAACGGCGGCAGGCGACCAATGGGGAAACGCGTTTTTAAGTAACGCCGCTAGGCCACTCACGTGAGGACAGCTCATCGAGGTGCCCGATATTACATTGAAATTCCACCGCCTTCCGTCGGTTTCCAAACCGGTTGGACCGGTTGCTCCGGTCCAACCCGCCAAGATGTTGACCCCGGGGGCGATCACGTCCGGTTTGACAATCTCCGGCGACCTGTAATTTGGGCCGCGTGACGAGAATGCGGCCACCATCGGGGCGGCAGTGGCATATTTTCCGGTGACTGTACCCCTGAAAAGGATCCCGGCCGACGGGTTATTAGCCGATCTAACATACTTTCTGATTTTGTCGCCGTTGATCTGACCCACCATGGTGGCGGGTAGGAGATGAGCGTCGGCCACAAGCTCCTCTCCGCTCTCTTCTGTGTTAGTTAAAACCATGGCGGCCCCTCCTGAATCCTTTACCGAAAGCCCTTTGGCCACCCTCGCAGTAATACCTCTCTCACAAACCACCGTTTTTCCTGCGACTTTGGCCGGAATCAGGCGACCCTTGCGACACAGCCGATCGCCACTATCGGCAGCAAGAACGACGGAAAAATTCTCTGGCGATCGGTTGCCAGTGTACAGAGAGACCCCTGCGAGAATAGTTCCATCACCAAGGATGACATCAGCCGGAAAATCTCGGTCGATGGTGGAAGCACCAACTGTTAGTATCCAGGGCGCGATGTTTGTTGCAGTGTGGGGGCCGGGACCCGAGTTACCGGCTGAGCACGAGACCACGACGCCGTGGCGTGCAGCGCCAAACGCTCCGATCGCAATCGAGTCATCGTCAAACTCAGGAGCCAGATGCGAAGAACCCACTGAGAGAGAGATGACATCAACACCGTCGCCCACCGCCTGGTCCATCGCAGCCAAGATATCAGAGTCGTAGCACCCTGTTTTCCAGCAAATTTTGTAAACTGCGATCCTCGCATTTGTGGCCATGCCCCTCGCCTCTCCGGCAGCATATCCATAAAAATCGGCGCCCGATACCAGAGCTCCGGCCGCTGTGGACGCAGTGTGTGTTCCATGACCCTCAGTGTCTAGCGGCGACGGTGACTCCTCTGTTTCATTAATCTTCCCGTTTACTGCCTCATACCCCTTAGCAAACCACCTAGCCCCGATGATTTTCCGGTTACAAAACTCACCAGATAATATTTTCCCGGCGCCCGAATCACACACCCCTTTCCACCTTTCAGGTACTGTTGTGAGGCCATTGTCGGAAAAGCTTGGTCTCTCAGGCCATATTCCGGTGTCCAAAACGCCGATTATCACGTCTTTGGCGTAATCCGAGTTGGGCCACAGCCCCTGGTCTTTGCTCAGGCCCAAGAATTCGGGGGTGCGGGTGGTGTGGAGGGAGTAAGTTCTTTCGGGCCGTACTGAGAGGATTTCGGGGAAGTTCCGGAGGATATCGGCTTGTGAGGGGAGGATGCGTGCTGAGAAGCCATGGGCGACGCGGTCGTAGGAGTAGAGGAGGGTGGGCTTCGGTTCACCGGCTCGGCGCAATGATCTGAGGATGGCTTTGTACCAGTGGTGATGAGTGGTGAAGATGGCGGGCTTGTGGGCTTTGGAGACGTGGACTATGAAGGTGTGATGTTGGGTTTGGGCTTGCGTTGAGATGAAGAGGAGGAAGAAGAGGAAGGTGAGGGAGAGGGTCTGAACCATTTTCTTTTGAGGGGAACGGAAGAGGGTGAGGAAAGAGATGAAAGGGATATTATAGGAGTAGATGAGGTGGGGGCGTTCACACTAGCTCAGATTTTTTTGTACACGGTCCGGAGTGGAGAGTGCCATGTTTTTTTTATAAAAAACCCTCAATTGATCATCTCGACAGATATGGAGATATATAAAAATGAAAAGAAATTTTTTTTAAGTCATAGCGCAACTTGAAACACATTTTTTAAATACTTTATTTTTAAAGTTTATAGATCTATTTGATTTTAATCATTTTTAGAGTTTAAAATTTTATAATTAGATATAAAAATCGAGTTTGAGATAATCCTAAGAATTTTTTACACCAAATTACATGTTATGATAAAATTTGGAGGTGCTATTTAAGATTGCAACCTTATAGAAACTTTTTCAACAACAAAATTAGCTTTTTTTGAGGTACATTTTAATTCTAATATAAGGTATCAACTTAAAGAGATGGGTCGTTGGTTTTGGGGATAACAGATAATTGTTCGGTATTTCAAACATCGAACAACAAAGAATCAGGAAAGAATAGCTTTATGTTCGGTGTTTTTTTTGCCGAACAAGGATGCAACATAGAGAAAAAATAAAATAAAATTCTTCAAGTAAAAGGGTATGCTTGTATTATTGAGCATATTGGACATCAACTAGTAATAAACCCATCTTTCGTACGTCAATTGCTCTATCCTTTAAAACTAAAATTCATGTGTTATTTTAATATAATTAAATTAAAATATATCACACAATTAGAAAAATGAAACCATAAAATAGTGAAAAACAAAATTAAAAAAAAGTTAAAAGTAAAAGGTTATCAAACTGCGCCAATTGGGCAAGCCCCTAGAGTTGGGGCATGGATCAAATTGGTGGAATTGTTTGCCAGCTTTTCTACAACTTCCCAAAAAAAAAAAAAAAACCTTAAATCAAACTTGAATTCTTGAAGAATTAAAAATCAAAGCGTTGATCTTAGATTTAATTGATTGAAGAGACTAAAAACCTTGGGGATAGGACTAAATTAAGGGTTTTGGGGCTGAACCTAGGTTTTGAGGGACAATTAGGACTTTCGAAATCTAAATTAGAGACCTAACTTTGGACATTGAAAATCTAAATTGGTGTTCGGAGAACCTGAATTTCGACATTTAAAACTATAGGTGGAATTCTAGTCGTCAGATCTTCATCATATGGTTTTGAATGTATATTATTATATGAATTTTAATTTTAATTTTTTATAAATCTGATTAAGATTAAATTTTAGGTGTATATACCTAACACTATTTCGCACCATATAAAAATATAAAAAAAATTTATTTTCAATAATTTAAAATGATCAAATTACCCCCATTATTTTTCAGGGGTATTTCGATCATTTTATATTTTGAAAAATATTTTTATATATTTTTTAATTGTGCGTCTTATTTTTTAGTATACACGTCTAAAATTTCATTATGATTTGATTTCTTAAAAAAATATTAAAATTCATATAGTGATATGCATTCTAAACCACATGATAAAGATCTGACGGCTGGGATTCCACCATATTACTATTCATTATAGCTGCCCAGCTACTGTTACCTTTTTCCATATATTATATATATATATATATATATATATATATATATATATATAGTATATATATTAACTNTCTACTACTACGTTAGTAAGTAACGTAACGGTAACGACTACCGT